TCTTCAGCACTAACGGACGAACTTGTCTGAACTTTTCAAATAACTTTTCACTTTTAATATAGCAAATTTTGGGAAAAGCTACCCTGTCTTTGGGCAAGAAACCAAATTTTTCATAGTTGCATTTTGGCAAATTCCCGATTAAACGCTCCTGTACTGTTTGGATTTACTTCTGATTTTTAATAAAAACATACCCCGGTTCGTGCGATGGCATCCAGAACGTTTGCAACATCGGAGACTTGCGCTGTAAGGAACCAGAAATACTCGTCAATGATAACATTGCCGTATAGGACAGGTGAAAGATCCAGAAATTCATCGATTTCATAAGTTTTTGGGATTCTTTTCTGTAGACGAGCAATCAGTGGATCGGGAAGTTGCTGAAGCTTGAAAAATTCCAGTGGAATTTTCATCCAGTCGAAGTACAAATTTGTTTCATTGGTCACATTTATCGGACTGCTTAACAGAATGCATGTACAGTTTGGCTGAAAAAAATTCAAAAATACATTAAAACTTACTTTTTTAACTGAACAAAATTTTATTCAGAAATTTATTACTTAGAGTTGGGCAGGTTAAATTAGAAATTGATTATATTTGGAATCCTGGACTAACTGTTGTTCACTCTCTAGCTCTCCAGTTATGAAGCTGACAACTTTTCCAATTGTTTTTACCAATAACCTTCGACCTTTGGCTACATCACCTTAAGGGTCATTTGCCGCTGACGAGCCTAACATCGTTTCGTTTTTTGTTATTTAAGTATGTGAAAATTTGTAAAATACTTGTAAAACTTGAGAAATCTCTAGTGCAATTTTTTAGACCATTTTTCACAAAATTTCTGCAACTCATAGTTCGCCAAGCTTCCGACTCGTAATTCGTAAGGTTTCGTAAAACAGATTCATTAAACTAAAACTGATCCGTAAAATTGGTTTGTAAAAAATCCGTAAAACTTCTGATAATTTTTTGCAAGACTCCTAATTTCACACTTTTTTTTGACTTCCTCTCAGTTTCTTGAGGACATTTTTCTTCACTGAATTGTTGCAAAGTCCTGCAAAGTTACTGGACACTAAATAGTAGTGCGCACCAGAATAGCTGGTTGGTTATGCTTCTTGCGCAGCACTATTCAAGAGACGTTTGCTATTGAAATGTTCGTTGTTTTGCAATTTGATATAAGCAAAAATCGTCGGAATTTGTTTGGTCCCAGAGCTGGAGAATTTCTCGTCAGAAGTGTAATGCAGTCTTACGTAAGACTGCAGGCGTAGGTGGAAGTTGGATTTAAAATATATGACTTAATGGATTGAAACACTTCTTACCATTATAACAATCTCACAAATTTTCTAATTTTCATTTCTCACTATCCTTTTCCATTTTTTTTTTCTTTTTTACATTCTTTCCTATTGTAACTTTCTATTAAGTTTGAGCACCAAACCCTCCCTCCCGATTTTTCCCGGGTGAAAATTTGAAGATACTTGAATGATGCGCAACCTTGAGATCACTGAGTGGTACACATACAGACGATGAAACATTGCAAATATTGAACGAGCGGTACTTTTTCATGAAGACCAAAAGCAATAGCAGCAGGAGGAGCAATAGCCGCAGCATCAGATCGTTGGTGCTACTGGCCGCCTCATAGCCCCTCAAACCACTCTGCGATAAAAGTTTGGTTTGTTTATTACGCGCTCTCAAAACATCATCGTTTATTCGCACTGTTTCGTAATTGGTGAAACCCTTCTGATTCGTAATTCATGAACTTCCGTAAAACTGATTCGTTAAACTAAAACTAATTTGTAAAAAATTCATGAAACTTCTGACAGTTTTTCGTAAAACTTCTGAGCATTTGCTGTAATCAGAAGCTGCTCTCAATCTGGACATAAGACGATAGTAGCAGTAAAAGAGATGAAACAACGACGTGGTGCGGAAGCTGCTCTCGACATGAATATAGGTGAGACAGATAATTCAAGAATTATCTTGAAGATTCGCGAACTGAAGTTAATTTCCGAATCAGTTAATACTTGAGAAACATGAGCTTGAGCCACTGATTCATTGATGCATAGCCGATAATCATATTCATTTTCTTTTTTTTTTTCCTTCATTTTATTGCTGTTTTGATTAAATGCTGCATCGCCTGTTGATCCAGCCCTCTGTCGGTCCTAGCGTTCTTTTCATCTCCTGATGAGATTACTGGCTCAGTGGTGACTCTTCCGACAGAAACACTTTAACAGGGCTTTAAGCACTTAGAGATTCAGCGATGTGTGTTGAGCATTACCATCTCCTGAGCTTATAACTTTTCAAGTTATTTTGACCAATGCTGCATAGCCTGATCAGCTTGCTACTGTTGGCGACCCTGACATTCGTTGCATCTCCTGAAGACATTGCCGGCCTCTGTGGTTCTGTTGGCTTAC